GAAACTGACAATTAATCTTCCCTAGGACTCGCATCTAAACTCCCCGCTATCCCTGCCCATGGCCTGCCCAGTGCCCACGCAGGGTTCTGTAAAAGCCACTTGCCAGACCCACGGAGCAAACACAGCAGGGAAGGGGGTGCTGACAGCCAGGAGCAGTGTGGAGCAGCTCTCCCGAAGTCTCACAGCAGAAAGCAGATCAGAGCCATCAGAATCCTCTCCCTGCTGCAGACAGCTCCACCAGAGCCAGCTGAGCTATACCAGGCACGCTGGGGATCCTTGGGTGACGCTTCCCCACATTTTGTTAAGCACAACAATTAAGCCAAAAGACATCTTCTGTCTGTTTCTGTGATTAATACTTAGCAGTTTCCCTCCAGCCCCCACAAAGGGGTGCAACTTTCCCTCTTGCACAGAACCATTTCATTGAATGAGTTGTCAAGTTCAAGCCTTGATGCCCCTCCACATTGGGAAGCAAAGCTCCTCCCCTGAGCAAACCAGCATCCTAGAAAATGATTGGCATGGGAATTTTCCCAACATTTTCTGAGCAAAGCAGAAAGAGGACAAGAGGTAGGAAGAGAAAATAGACACAAAATAAGGGATGCAGCTACTGCAGTAGAAGAAATCAAAGGAAGTTAATGGGCAATGGTAAATTAACCTAAACTTTATGAAAATGAGAAAGAATACATTAGTTTTCTTTGGCCCAAGTCTGCAAATCTTTTTAGTGTTTTTAGATGCTAAAACCATCAAACTCTGGTTTTATTATCAATTTACACAGCAACTATGAGTCACAGAAGTCAAGGAATCATCCCTTGCCACTATGCAGCCAGATGCACCATTTGGAGAGCCCCACCTCCAGGACCAGGAAGGATCATGTCACCTGCCAGTCACACAGGATGCCACTGCCGCAGCAGTCTCCTGCCAACAGCAGCCAGAGGGATCACACAGGGACCTGTGTTTTGCCAGGGTTAAGGCGAAACTGCAGGAAGAAATATAAAATTAAGCAGCCAATCAACACAATGCGCAATTTTCTGCAAGATTGCCAATGCTGGACCATAGGCAGTTGCAATCTGCATAATTAAAACTGGTTTGTTTTGCTGCACTAAAGCCACAAATCAGGCATGTAACCATGAGGGAGAGACATTTATTTAGATTTCTGACCAGATAGACGAAAAAAACCCCAAACTGTACATCTGAAAACACGCACTTTAAATTGTGCATCCAAGGATCTGCTGTGTGCTGTATTCCGCAGGCAGCTGTCATGTGGCAGTTGTAAATCTGCAGCCATATCTCCATTGGTGTTTATTTTTAACACCACCACTCCTGTCTGCAAGGCTAAGGCAAATAAGAAAACCTGCCTCCGAGAAGTGTTCTTTTCTGGTACCATCCAGCGAGCATCTCCTGCCAGTGCTGGGGCCAGCTCCCCGCTCTCCGGACAGTGCGAGGGTGCAAAGCGCAGCAGCAGAGAAGGACAGAGCCTGGAGAACTGACAGCAGAGACTGCACCGTGGGAAGGAGCCTGCCAGCGCTGCGTGTGTGCCGGGGAGGTGAGAGAGGTCTCCGTGCACGGGCAGGCTGCAAACACTCTGCAGAGCTGCAGGAGCTGCGCCTGCAGCCGCTGCCACAGCAGCCACGCGTACTCCCACTGCCAAAGGCAGAGTGGCACTGACCCCGAGCCTCGCACAACCCGCAGCACCACCAGCCCTGCCACCAGCCCAGCCCTCCCAGACACCCAGAACACAGCAGGGCTCTCCAGCAGACCCACGGCACCCCACGCAGGACAACTCCTCCCCACCATGCGAGAGCAGACACAATTCTGCAGGAACAGAGCCGTCACCGCCAATAAATCCCCCTGTGCATGAAGATAATTCCCAGTCCAACCCTCCCTGCTCCAATCTCGCACCCCACACAGCGCGTGGGCTCCTCGATTGCTGACCCGAGGCTGCAGCACCCGCAGGGCTCAGCTCCCACCCTGCAGCCCCTGACAGCCGCCCCAGCCTGTGCTCTAATTCCCAACAGCCGGAGCTAGAGGCTTCAGCCAAACTTCCCTGGAATCGGCCTCAGGAACTGCGTTCCCCTCCCTGTCATTCCAGGTGTGCTCTCAGCTCCTCTCTCTGGTTTTTCACACCTGAGGCACTGCTGGCAGATCCACGCCTCGCCCAGCGCTGGCTGACACCTCACAGCAGAGCACCCTGCCCACTTCCCATCCTCTCTGACCTGTCTTCAAATGCATTTCCAGGGCAGCTTTGCTGGGGCTACTTCTCTTCCATCCATGCTGACATATGCCCTGAAGCTCACATGCAGGGTTTCCCACCTTTCTCCCTTCCATTTTCCTGTCCATGCCCTGGGGACAAGCTTTGTGTTGTGTTCAGGTTCCCAGCCCATTCTCCATATCATGAGATCACTGCTTCAAATTTTCATCTATTATCAGCTTCATATTCCAGCATTTCTGTATCAACACTTTGGTTGTTAGTCCCCCTTGCCACCACTTCCCCTCTTCTTTATCCCTATTTCTCTTCCAATTTAGTCTTTCTCAGGAGGTTTGGGCATCTGTCTCCAGGAGGGTAGCAAGGCATTAGATATGAACAGTGTAATGGCTCAATCCTTGAAGAAAATAAACAGGATATCTGGGATAATGAGGTAGTCTACATCCAATCCTTCAGTAAAGCCAGGAGAGACCAAACTGCATAAGTGGAGGTGGATGTTAATGGCCACAGTCACAGCCTCAGAGAAGCTTTAGATGATCACAGCTTTAGCTGTCGGGCTGGCACACTCAACACACAGCTGAGCACAAAAAAGCCCGCTCCTTCTGCAGTGCATCCTCGGGCACCAGCCCTCCCTGGGTCCCTACAAATGCAATGACCAGCTGCTGTCCTGCCTGCTCAGCCACCTTTGTTCACATTGCTCCTACTTAGTGAGGAAGCACAGGCCACAGCAGAGCTCTGCACCAATCCCTCTGAACTCAGATGGTTCTTCCTCCCACAGTTTAGCCAGGTGGGAAAATCAGGACCACCCTGGTCCCCACAGAGATGTGACAGCAGGTGAAGGCTATCCAGTCACAGCTGTGAGGACTGGAGCCCCTGCATCTCACCATGCTCACCCCAAGACCACCCTGCTGCTGTGACAGACCCAGTGTGTCCAGGGACAGAGCTGTCACCTCCCCAAAGGCAGCACACACGGACCTCGGGGTGTGACTGCCCAGCTCTCCTCAGCTCCAGCACAGGCACACCCTGTCAACATAAGAATTAGCCTTTATTCAGCTGAAAACACAGACCGAGTACCCTGTATCAGGAATCAGACATTTCTGGATGTGTAATTATGCACAGAACAGTACCAAGGAAATTATTACTGGCCCATCAGCAAACTGTCTGCATTACAGCTGCCCAAAACGTGATCACTGTGGTGTAATGTAACACCCTCACACACTCCAGCATTAACTCCTCACATATGGAAACCATGAGGCTACAGAAGCCAGGCCAAGAATGATCATGGCCCACGAGTACTCCAGTCACAAACAACAATCAGAAAAAACGCTGGAGACATCTACAGCAAAGCTTTGTAACAGCTCAGAACCAGTCCTGCCTCCAGTGTCACCTCTGCACCCTGAACACTTGAGAAGCAGGAATCACTGGGCCCAGGACATCTTTGAGAATAATGTGAAACCGTGGGACAGTCACTAGGAACAAATACAAATCCCCTCCCATAAAACGAACAATAACACAGACTGAAAGAATATTTCATCTATTTAACTGCAGGGTGCAATAACATCAATTTGCCCAAATTACACACAAACAGAAAGGTAATTGGCACAGAGCAGGGCGTGTTGTGACTGTTCCGTCACTCTTGGAGGCCAGCTACAAAAGACTGAAATTCAGGAAAGTAAACAATGGCACGAAACCAACAGCCAGCCCCTTCCCCAGAATCCCTCCCTCTGGCATCGCGCTGCCGCAGTTGGGCAGAGACTTTTCCAAGCAGAGCCTGTGCAGCCCAGCCATCACCCAGCTGAGCGCGGATCTGGAGAAAAAATGGAAGCTCTCGAGTTTGCACAAGCCCAAGTTAATCTACAGAAAAGCTATTTTATACTTTTAACTAACCGTGTTCTGGACTTAGATATAATGAAGTGGTGAACACATATCCATATAAAACAACTGAGCAAAGGGAGAGTGGAGCTGGTTTTATATAATAGTGGGGGGACTGAAGGAGGCAATGCAAGTGAAAGGCATAAAGTAAGCAGCTAAGAGTATCCTCTGTCTGAAGGTGGGAAAAGGAACTGTCATCAGCTAACAGAATTAGCAATTATCGCAATAAGGAGTTGATTTATTAAGTTATCCAGCAATGCCCATTACTACAGTGCGGTACCAATGCGAGAATCCCTGGGCGTGCAATAGCCAAGCTTACGCTGGCCCATTTCCCTCTGCCTCCAACCTGCTCAGCCCTTCCCTGGGCTGCAGGGCTGCCATGTGTCACAGGGTACCAACTTTCCTTCGAAACAAGATTAACTGGGAGGCTTGCACTTGCTGCTCAGCGGTCTCAATAGATAAAACCTCTAGTTTTATTCATCTCCAACACTCAGGAACGCAGCGATTGCCGCACAGCTCCGCACCCCGCACCACTACCGGCACTTGCATAATAATGACTGCGGGCCTGGAGGCGAGGGGCCGGAGCACGAAGGCGACCTTCCTTACATAAGGACCGCGGGATCGATGCCCTCGGCACCGGGGGCCGCGGGCAGCGCTCCCGACCCCGCACAGCCACCGCCGCCCGGCGGGCGCGGGGCGCTGCCCCGGAGGGCGGCACGACCCTGCCCATCACCGCCGCTGCGCACGGCCGGGCCGGGCCGGGCAGGGCTCCCCGGCGGGCTCGGCGGGGCCGCGGCTCCGCGCCCGGCGCTGCCGCAGCGCGGGAGGGGCGGCGATGCAGCCCCGCGGCCGGAGCCGGAGCCGGAGCCGGCCCGTCCCCGCCCCGCCCCGCACACAAAGGCGGCCCCGCCGCGCCCGCGCTCCGCACCTTTGACCTGCGCCTCGTAGTCGGCGATGATCTCTTTGTCCTTCTTGAACTTGCCCTGCGCTGACATCGTGCGGGAGGGCGCGGGCCCCGCCGGCACCGCCGCGCTCCGCCGCCTCACCCGGCCGCGGCCCCGCCGCCGCCAGCGGCCGCCGGCATTGGCGGCGCCGGGACACCGCGGGGACCCCGCGCAGCGCCGCCGGGAGCGGAGCGCGGCCGGGCAGAGCCGGGCAGGGCGCAGCCGAGCCGAGCCGAGCCGAGCCGAGCGCAGCCGCTCCCGCCGCCGGCCGAGGCGGGGCCCTGGCGCCGCTCCTGCGCTCAGGTTGCGCGCGGGGCGGGCGCTCCGGAGCCCCTTCCCCGCCCCGGCCCCGCCCCGGCCCCGCACGGATCGGCTCGGCTCGGCCGCGCCCCCCGGCCCCGCACGGTCCCGCACGGCTCGGATCGGCTCGGCCGCGCCCCCCGTCCCCGCACGGCTCGGATCGGCTCGGCTCGGCCGCGCCCCCCGGCCCCGCACGGCTCGGATCGGCTCGGCCGCGCCCCCCGGCCCCGCACGGCTCGGATCGGCTCGGCTCGGCCGCGCCCCCCGCGCCGGGCAGCCCCGCCGTGCTCGGGCACCGCGGGCTGCGGAGCGCCCCGTGTCCCCGCCGTGTCCCCGCCGTGTCCCCCCGCTGCGGGACGTGTCGCTGTCCCCGCGTGTTCCCCCTCCCGGAGCGGCCCCTCGCAGCCCGGGGCTCCGGCACCGTCCGGCCACCGCTGGACAGCGCGGGTGCACTGCAGCAGATTTGTCACTACTTGTCAAAACTAAGGAAAAAAGGAGAGAGTGTTCGTTCCAGCAGGAGCAGCATCAGCGGTGAAGGCGCTCTGTCAGGGTCCCGGCTGAGCGCTGCGGACCCCGTCCATCGCCCTCGGACAGGCGATGCGCGGCCTCGGCCTCTGCAGATCCGCAATGCACTGAGCGGGTCCTCTGTCCGCCCCGGCTCCGCTCCCATCGCTGCTCCACACAATGGGCGCTTTTATCGGTGTCTTGTGAGGAGTGAATTCAGGGAGATTTGATGATTCACAGTTACTCTGACAACTTTAAAAAATAACCCCAGCTCATTACACAAATAATTTACCTAGTGCAAGCAGGCAACACAGAGGAGCATTCTGCATCTCAGTGGCTGTGGAAAGGCCTGGGAGGAGGGAGGAAAAGCGACCCTTCCAGGGAAACGCAGCCACAACAGAACGTGAGGCACAGGCTCGGGGCTGAGCAGTGTTGCTCCAGCTCCTGGTGGACTAAGGGCTCGGAGTCTCAGGGAAAGCAGAAGCTGTGCTAGACCCACGCTGGGCACAGACAGAGGCAGAGGACAGGGACCACAGGGAAGGTGCAGGAACAGTGGCTGTGAGCATGGGTCAGTGTTTTGTGGCAGGGCAGGAGCAGCCACAGAGCATGTACCGGTCCCTCGGGTGAGCTGCTGCACCCCCTCCATGAATCTGGGAAGGGGCTGGGCTGGGATCCTGTGTGTGACTGCTCTAAGCTGTACTTGGGGCAGGGCTGGAAAGGCAACACTAAGGAGAGTCAAGAGGCATCAAAGAACAATCCTCCAGGAACACCAGGTCTCTGGAGAAGGTGCCTGGGCTGTGAAATGATTGCTGTACACCAGTGGTGTGTCATCTCCCAAAGCAAGGAAAAGCCAATTTACAATGACCAGAAAAGTTCAGGGATGATGATGTTGTGTTCCTTCACAGCCAACAACACCCTGGAGGGACGCTATGGTTCTGAGTTTGCTCTCCACAAAGGAAAAACAAACCAACTAAGCAAGGAAACAGAAGCACAGGCCATTTGATAAAGGATTCATCCTAGCAGCAGTCACTTCTCCTTGCAACACCCACAGGGATTCAGAGAGCAAGGACCAGCATTCCTGATAACCACCTCTGCCATAAGATAGATTTTGATTTTTCTTGCCAAATTGGTTCAAGCCTGTGAGGGCAGCTCTGTGGTCAAAGCTGAGTGTCTGAGAGTGTTAAACATCTTTTCTCAGAGTGGTCCGAAAAATAGTGGCGAAAGAAAAATCCTAGTCACTAAATGATCCAACAGCACCAGGGGTTTCTGCTACTCAGATATCATAAAGAATTAAGAAGCAGCAATAGCTGAAGAAAAATAATCCAATCATGAATTAATGATCTTTAATAAATATCAATGTCTAAGATACTTTGTGGAATTTCTATTTGAAATATCTTCTTAAAAGGAAGGATTACATTGTAATTCACTTTGTGACACTCTCAACCCAGAATTTTTTAATGAGGAATGGGACGGGATGGGATTTAATCATAATAAACACTTCAAGCTTGAGGTATATAGAGAAACCAACAGTAGCTATGGCAACGTGGTCACTCCAGTAAGGCTAATGCAGATTATTTCCAGGGCAGTAGCCTTGTGTGTGCTCAGGAAGCAGAGGTAATGTTGGCTTAAAGCAATTCCTAAATTAAGGAAAAATTTTTAAGCAGAAGCTGCCTTGCACTCTTTGCTTCCAGCTTCAAACTGTAAGTGTTTCATGATGTGCTGAACACACACACAGCAGCCTCAGCAGAGTATTGACCTGCTGCTTCCAGAGACACTCATCTATGTCACCATGAGCTGGGCAGACCCTCTGGTCATGGATTCACAGACTGTTTTGGGTTGGAAGGGACTTTGAGGCTCATCTCACTCCAACCCCCTGCCATGGGCAGGGACACCTTCCTTAGACCAGGTTGCTCCAAGCACTGCCCAGTCTTGAATACTTTCAGAGACAGAATATCCATCATCCCCACTCTCACACCAGTGAAGCTTTGCCAGAGAAGGCTGGAGCCAGGCCAGAGGCCACACCAAGCCACAGATGACATGGACACCGAGCTGTTTGATGACACCCTTCACAACCTTACACAAGTGCCAGAGCTGCAGCACTGCACCAAGTTACTCATCCCAGAGTAAGGCAGCCTGTGACATGACCCCCAACTCTCCCTTGGTCTTCCTGCCTTCCTGGGGTCTCTGAAAGGCAGAATCCCTTGTGCCATTCCTTGGGCTGAAGAAGCTGGGGAAGGGGCATGACTTTGGCCATTGATATGTGGCTAAACCCCCTGCAGCCTCTCTGGGAAGTTGCTGTAAACCCTACTTGGTGATGGAAACTATTCCGGTCCAGGCTCGAGGGCCCCAAGGAGGTGTGGGCTCGGCCTCAGGCTCATCAGGCCTGCAGCGAACCAGCCACACTGGGAGAGATTGCCCGTGCAGAAGAGCACTCAGCTGCAGCAGGGTCAGCAGGGGAATAAAATCCATATGAGCTGGGGCAGCAGGAGCCAGCCCTGCTGGCTGTCCCCTCTGTGGGAGCGGCATGGCTCTGACACAGCATGCTGGACTGCTGGGGAAAGGCTTCCATGCACTCCTTTTCCAGTGTGAGAGTAAACGAGTTGGAGACACGTAACACAGCAGCTGTTGGTGCTGCACTACATCACCTTTGTTTTTTGAACCTTACATCTTCTTTCCTGCCAGCAAAGTGCTGTTACCTTGTCATATTAACAGAGAACTACTCCTCACTCTGTTCCCTTTTTTATCTCTGTAGTGAAGTGCAGTTGTAGCTTGGCACTGACAGAGCTGTATCAATGGGTCCTGCCTTTGCTCCCAAAATAACTGCAGCCAAAGATTTCTGTATGTGGAAATACATGTTCTTTTTCAGGTAAAGCATCGGAGAAGTTTGCTTTTGATTTTTATTTATTCAGGTCTCCAGCCACTCAGTTGTAAGTAGAAAGGTATCTCCCGAAAATACATGTGTAGTAATCTTGAGGCCATGGATATTCAGAGAAGAAAAAGAGCATTCTAAAATACACACCCATCTTGATCCCAGCCTTTTCCACTGTTGCCATCTTAAGTCCCCATAAGAAATGAGAATAAATGCATGAAGAATTATGATAAACAACTTGGCAAGGCAACCGCAATTCTTCCCAGTAGCTCTAATTGTCCTGTAAAAGGCACTGGAGTCAGAAGCTGCTCAGAACCTGTTGTAACTGCACAAGGCCGTGGTCACACTGCACGGTGCTTATCACAGTGAAAAGGCTCTTGTGAGCAGTTTCCTGCAAGAGATCTGCGGCCTCCCTTCCTCAGGGGGGGTCAGACTCTGGTCAAAGCTGTGCTTTCACTTCCCTGCTGCAAGCAGCAACTTCAGCAGGTGCTTGAGAGCCACTGCTTTAGGGAGTGGGCACTCAGCATCCATGCCCGGGCTCTTTGGAAGGACATCCCCTGCACACCGCTGGCATTTGCTGTTGGTGTCCAAGGTGTGAGTCTGAAATCCCAGCGGCTGGTTGAGCCTTGCCCATGGGGTGCCTTGCAGCCCTTGGCCCTGTGCTACATACACCCCCAAAGAAGTGCTTTGGCACGTAGCTCTCCGGGAAAAGCAACAGGAGCTGTTTACTCTGTTGGGCCGTTCCAGAGCTTTGATCTTGTTCTAAGCCCAGGGTGGCCCAGACTCCTCTTGGGCCCATCCCTCCTGTGAGCACTGTGCTGAAGCTGAAGCTGCCAGAACCAGATTGTTAATTATACTCCTACTGATTCAGAGGAAAGCTAAATATGCAATAATTCAAGTGCATCAGTCACCCCCCCCCCTTTTTCCATATGTTATTGTTCCTCTCTGCCTCCATTTCCCCATTCTCTCCCTCCCCAGGGCTGAGGATGTCCCACCCTGCACTCCTGGGAGCTGCGGCTCCACCATCCAGCATGGTGCCACCATCTCTCTCTACCACGCAGGCACAATATTCTTCCAGGTGGGGTACAAACCTCTGCTCTTTGGTGCAGCTGGATTTGCAGTTTGGTTATGACCTGACCCATGCTTTGCTCTCTTGGGATGGTGCTGTTCTCCCCTGGTTACGTGCTCCCAGGAGTTCATCCCAGTGCCAGAAGCAGTCATGGTTTTTGTCATCTCAGACTAACTCCACTGGCCTTTCTTGCCCTCATCCCTGTTCCCTGCAGCGCGGAGCTCCCTCAGCCCTGTCTGGAGCAGCCCTGTTGTACCTGGCACACACAGGTGACAAACACAAAGTGACAGAGCCCTGCTCCAAGGCCGTCCCCATGCAGGAGCTCTGGGCCCCCAGAGCCAAGGGCTGGGGCTCTGAAGGTGACAGAACCTGTGGTGAAGGTGACAGGCCCTGAAGGTGACAGGCCCTGACGTGAGGCAGGTCCTTGCCAGGCTCTGCTCCCCCGGACCCAGGGCTCTGCGTGTGCAGACGTGACCCCAGAGATGCAGCTCTGTGCCTCCTCAGGGTCTGCCCCACAAGAAACACAAGCTGTGGGGAGGGAGAACTGAAATGTAGCAGTGCTTTAAAACCAATTTGAACATTCTCAAATCCTGATGACCTCTGTTGCAGTT